TCTGCATTGCGCTGTATAGAGGACTACAAAACCCAGCAATAGTACATCATACAGCGCAATGCAGAATGCCGCCAGCTATAATGTACTATTGCTGGGATTTGTTGTATTCCTTTATAGCTGGTGGTATTCTGCATTGTGCTGTATAATGTACTATTGCTGGGTTTTGTAGTCCTCTATAGTCGGTGCCATTCTTCATCATTGCTGTATAATTTTACACTTTTCATTTCACTATATTGCACACCACACTTTTCTTTTTTACTTCCACCGCTCCAAGCTTGCTCCTGTGATGGAGTGCAATCTCAATACAAACTAGTAGTCCCATCATTGGAGCCATTTTTAAAAATGTATTTTATTTTTTATCCGATTAACCGATTAATCGAGCTTAATAATCGGCTAACTAATCGATTTTGAAAATAATCGTTAGCTGCAGCTCTACTTGTATGGTCCTTAGTTATTTATTTTAATGATGAGAAGAATTATTTCATTTTTCAAAACTCAATAAGATGCCTTTGTTATAAGGGAAAACAAGCTTGCAGATGGAGGAGGAAGGAGTTTGCCATGGAGTCAGACAGATCTGGGAAAATGGCACCATGCAGAAAATCCTTACGCTTCCAACATTATAGAGGAGTGAATTTGCTTAGTAGCTGGTAGAGGAAGGGCAGTTTAATTAGCTAAAGTGTTTGGATATGTCACACTAGAAACGTAACATTAAAAGGAACTCTTGTAAGTTCAGGTCCCACTGCTGTACATTGGGACTAAGGTATACAAAGTGTATATTGTACCTCTAATCCTGAGACCGGAGTAGGATGCTCTGGCCACATTGGAATTGTTTACCAGAGCCAAGAAAAGAAAACAAAAACTGAAAAGCTTTGTAAAAATATGTTGCTTTGTCTAATCAGTGACATGCTGCATATTTGAGATGACTTTTGTAACAGACATGCTTACTGTGCTTGAAAGAAAACCTAAGACCACCAGATTTTAGAGTAGAGCGGCAGCTTTATTCTCATTGAAACAGAAGCTTTTTCTAAACTGTAACAAGTGACTGGGAAGATGGGCACAGTACTAAAATAAAGATGTGTTAATTCAAACATACATTTTGCCTATGTAGAAGTTATACTGACAAACTGACTGAAGCAACAAAGCTTGTAATCGAAAAAGTTACATTTCAGCTGAGTAAGACATTGTGTTCTAGGTAGTTTTTGTAATGTAAAAAGTCTGTGTACAGAGCAAACATCAGCTTTTCAACATTTAGGGTATAGGCACTATATGAACAACTGTAATCATGGACTATAGAAGTAAACCAAATAAAAGCATGTCTTGTGCACTGCAAGGGTGACTTCCATTCTGGTGACTGCTAAATAAAAGATAGAGTACTAGATAGTAGCATCATATAACTAAAACAAAAGGAAATGTACCTTCTTGAAAAAGAAAAAAAAATGTGCACTGCATAAAACAATTTAAACCCTAGTAGTAATTGCTCACAAACACACGTGGCTGATGGGCTTACAAATGGGAGACACCACTCAATCTATAAATTAACTTCATTCATACAATCTTATCATGCAAACAAATCTACATTGTAACGTGTGTTGGGTAATATATACAGGTGCTGTTTTCTGTATTTTACTGGCTTAAAATCATGATGGATTGTTTGCAATACATTAACACATTTAGAGGTACTCACCATAAAATGTACTACTCTCAAGGGGTACTTAGAGAGACTTTCATTTTGTCTGTTCAGGACCTACTTAGACTCGCCTTCCAACAATCCCCCTGTGCTCTAACCATGCCACTGAAAATACCGGGGACTTCCAGGTTTGAGGAAACATGCACACCTTAAACTCTGTCCCCTGAGGACAATGACATTATTAACCCTGTGTAAGCTCTAACATTGTCCTACATAGAGCTTACTCAAGGTTTGCCTTCTATCTCAGACAGAGGAATGGAATGTGGGGAAGGGGAGTAGAAATGGGTATGGGCTGAGAGTATGTCACTTTTGCAAAGAGGTAATTAAGTGATCCACACCAGGGGTTATTTAGTAAACATGAAAACAGTAAGGCCCCATTCCTTCTCTATGGGGCTACGCGGCCGTACGCCCCCTTACGCTCACCTCAATTGCAGGTCCGTAGGGGTGCAGGTGATCGTATTCATACGCCGCCGGAATGGATCCTGTACGCGTCCCGGCCAGAAAACCCGCACCCTTACGGACCTGCAATTGAGGTGAGCGTAGGGGGGCGTAGCCCCATAGAGAAGGACGGGGACTGCATACTAATCACACGCAGCCCGTCCTTCCCGGGAGCTACTTGGTACGGCCCCGCACGGAGCTGTACGTGCAGGCCGATTCGTGTGTGAATGGGGCTTAAAGAGTACATAAAGAAACACTTCTATAAAAGGTAACAACAATATTTTGTAATTCATAAACAGAGCTTTAGGAATCCAGGTGTCAAGACAACTTGGTATCTGCAGTGCAAGCAACCATTACCCGGCTGTTCTAAACTGGCCTCTAGAGTGTTCTGTGCAGACCAACACCTGCCATAACCTTCTAATGAGTTACATGAAAAGGAGTTAAATGCTATTCATCTACCCAGGATAACATGGACTTGTTAAAAATGGTAAATTTAGGCTTCCCTGATCAATGCTGAAAATATGGTAATCGGGCACAAAGTTCAGTTTCACAGCACTGAACCCCTTCCTTAAGGTTCCTAAAGATAGGGTATTCCGATACTTTGTATAGTAAAGATACTCTAATCACAAGGATTCCTTTTTCATCTGATGTATAATAACTGCTCAGTGCAAGTTAAAAAAAGAAAATCACTACATAGTGAAAGGCAGCTCTGGTTTATCTGTGCATCATCAGCAGAGAATAAAAGTGAAATGGACAACATTTTCCAATCTATCTGAAGAAGGTTCTGCCACAGCAAGTGTCAACCCTTACAGAGTCTGAGCAACAAGTTGTATAAAGAATAACCCTTAGTAAGGATTTTAAAAATGAATAGTTGTAATGACTCTTGCCTCCCTGTTACACATCTAATACCCAATCTAGTTCCAAATAAAATTACAGTAAAATATATCCAAAAGATGGGATAACAAACAGTATACGCAAAGTTAGATGTAAAACATGAAAGGTTTCAAAATGCATATACAAGTAGTATCAGAGTAGTAATAGCAGAGACCAATGGACTGGAGCCGATACACTTAGAACCTTCGTGATACATAGTTTTATACAACTCTAACATAAAATGTACATTTTGCATTTGCAGTCTGTGGTGTCCCTAACTACACAGTATTACAATGAGGTGCATTAGAAATACAAAAAAAAAATAGGATTAAAATAAGGACAAGTGATGGTATGAACAATTTCCCAATGCTTTCTTGTACTAAAATGTTGTGTCTTGATTTCTTCCAAGACAACAAATGTTGGTGTGTGCTAGCTAAGGGTAATATGAAGGGCCAAGTCTGTAAAGTGCTGAGCAGAATAGGGGATAAGGCACTTGTTAAATAGACTATAGCAAGGTTACTGTATAATGCTATCCTTTCTTATACAATGGCTATTTTCAGCAATGACTTCAGCTAGTATTAAATAAAAGGTAGCTAAAAAAAGATTTGTTAAAAGCAACCAATCCTCCTAATTTAGAAGAGCTGCTTGCAACAACAAGAAGAGGGTGATAGCAGCCTATCTGGAAAATCTCTGTCAGAGGGGCTGATCATTCCTTTTTTCTATATAAAGATCTAAAGTACAGTATCAATGTTGTGCAAGGATCATTTTTGGTCCCTGAGCTCAGTAAACTCATGCGAGCAAACATCTCGCAGATAGCCGACTATGGCCAAAGTAAATGTATACTTAACTAAAAGAACAACCTTTCTATACACTACAATATGTACAGTCTATGCTGCTGATGGATCATTATCCGGTCTTGTAGTCCCATAAAGAAATAATGATCAGAACATGTAACCATTTGAATATAGGTATTCCATATCAGCTTATGTCACTGAGGAAAGAATACTGATCTTCAAACTAAATGCCCCCATTCACACTTGAGCGGTTTCAGATGATTTTGAAGCACATTTTCAGGTGTTTTCAGGCTTGAGTTTTTTTTAGCCAAATGTAAAGCTAGTTACCAGGAGGAGACAGTTGTTAAGATGCAAAGGTCGTACGAAAAAATATGCATATTTTCTGGTGCAGCTATTAAAGTCCAAAATCATGCAATTATGCCCGAAAAAGCTCATGCACTTTTTTTGAGCTCCAAGTGACACAACAGGGGCAACATTGAAACTAATGAGATTGCTTATGTTGTGCGTTGGGAAACATGACAAAACACTCCGGTGTGAATGGGGACTAATGGATGCCTTTGCCTAAAAACTAAAAAAAAAGCACACATATTTGCTCATGTTTTTCTATCCTCCACTGTAGTTGTAAAAGTAAAAATACAGAGGTAAAATAATTTGACTAACATCATAGAATCTTGTAGAGCTGCAACAGTTAATCGATTTAGTCGATTAAAATCGACGATTGAAAACGTTGGCAACGTTTTCGACCGCCGATTATGTATAATGTACTATATTGCACACCACACTTTTTTTTTACTTCCACCGCGCCAAGCTTGCTCCCGTGATGGACTACAATCTTAACACCATCTAGTCGTCAATCACTGGAGCCTTTTTTTTTTATTATCCGATTAATCGAACTTAATAATCGGCCAACTAATCGATTATGAAAATAATCGTTAGCTGCAGCCCTAGAATCTTGACGTTCACATCTTTTTCAGACCGCACACTCACTCATGCATACTTTGTCACTTTTTCCAAATATCTTATTTGTTCAATCTACAAGTGAGTCTGTTTTAAAATGACCTTGTAGTTGGAATCCTGAACCTCTGAGATGAAGCAGTCCATTGTTATCATTTATCTAGTGCCTTATAGCTGTCACAGTATCAAAATTGCACAGGAATAACAAGTCATTACACGGACTCATTAAACCTAATGGAAGGAACAGAAACACTGCTTTCTACAATACCGCATACTGTGAGCTGCAGCATTCTGTATGATACACATTAAAGACATTTAGTCCTTCTTTGTGTCCTTGTTTTTGCTGGGTGGACCCTGAATGCTGTTCCACACCTCAGTGTACAGCAGCGTACCCAAAAACACAAATATTGTTCCAATCCAGTGCCACGCAGTAAAAGGATTCTTAAAATACAAGATGGAGAAGATGAGGCTGAGGAATTTTCGTAGTGTAACAACCAGGGTAACTGTGAGCGAGGGACACTCTGTAGTAAGGGAAAATACTCCTCTGATGCACACATATCTTGTGAAATATGTTAAGGCAAAAAGAGCTACATAGAGAAAAACAGATTAATGAGGAACTTACTGTACACAGTTTTACAGCCACCAAATCTGAGGATTGCCAAGCTGCAATATATTCAATTTTTGTTCTTGGACTTGTTTAGTGCTACACTTTAATGACGTGGAAGAGTTAAACATTTGCACCAAGAGAAGATCCAGTAAAGCACAACCACTGCATTTGTAATGAGCAAATATGGGGTCATTTGTTTCGTTTGGATGTTAAGATTCCTTTTTTTTTTAATATGGTTGGAAATAAATATCATCACCCAAATGGAATTTCGGACAGCTTGTCTACTATTAATAGCCAGTCTTCCGAAATAAAGAATTGTACATGATAATGACAACCGACCGTCTGAAGTTCCGATTCGATTCGACATAACGAATAAATTATTTAGTCGAAATAACGAATCATTCTTATGTAACAAATACGACTAAACAAAATGTATTTGCTTGACGGATAGAAATGGAACACATTTTGTGGCGGCGCACGTGCCTAATATACACGCACAAAGTTTTTTTAAACATTAAAGGTTATTTAGCCAAAGCAATTCTACATTCCCTAGCATTACGTATTATCATTTCCAGGTATTATTTTTAGTACCATTAGTGCACCATCAGTTGATATTAGAGAGAAAGCAGCCCCAACTGTATATAACAAGGATATCTGAACTTGAACTAAGAAAGTCTGAAGTGGCTTCTCATATCCCTACAATGCATCACTGTAAGGGGTTTACATATATCAACATAATATATGTAAATATTTGCATTGTGACCACACATATACCACAGACATTAACAGTGGCAATGAGCATGTGCCTGGGAATGCTTTCCTCACAATCTTCAAACAATGATATAAAAGGGGATTATAATGAAAATACAGAGAAGTGTAGAACATATTTGCAGCAAGGATACTGTGTAATGATGTTCATGAGCAAATAAAACCACATGATTGGCATCTGGATTCCGAGTAGAGGCAGCTGGAAGGGCTCTGTAATATAACAAACGGAGACAAATCAGTATCGCAGATAATGGTATCAAGACATTTACCTCAGTCAAAATCACAGAAAAACAAAGCCGTTACACATATAAAACCTTAATCCAAGTAAGATTGTGACCATCCGCAATGCCTATGCCAACTTTACCAAGCCTACAGCAGGACAGAAATGTATGCCTCTCTATTGTCCATACAGTATTTATGAAAACAATAGTGAGTTTAAACATCCTTGCTAGTGCGCCTGCCATGCCTAAACTGTACCAGTTGCTGTCGTGCTTTAATAGAAGCTGGAGTAAACCACAGGAGAGAGATGCAAGTGCGCACTCTTTAAAAGGAGAACTATGGGGGTCAGTGTTTTTCCCCATAGTTCTCCTTAGGGTAACGGGAGGACACAAACTAGCGTCCTCCCGTTACCATAAGCTCTGTATACCGCGAGCAGTAGCTACATCGATGTCGAGATCCGCCCAGCTGCGTGAGTGACAGCTGGCTCTGCCTATCTAGAGGCAGAGCCAGCTGTACCCGCCCCCTCCCCCGTTTGTTCCGCCAGTCAGCGCTGGTGGATCGGAGCGGGGAGTCCAGCCCCTCCCCTGTCAGGGCAGAGAGCCGTGACAGGATCGAGAGGTGAGCGAACGCCGGTATGTGTTCGCTCACCTCCCGATCTACTGAGCCGACCTGTGACAGTCTCATTGTCACAGGTCGGCTAGAACTATGAGGTGAGTGAAAAGCACTCACCTCATAGTTCTCCTTTAACATAAACCTGTGCTTTGCCTACTCCACTCCTGCCCCTCTGTCAGCAACAAACACACAGCTGTACTTCACAATGTGTTAATTTGTGCAAGACTTTTCTGTATAAAAAAACGTTCATTGTTTTAATTCAGTGGGCAAGATAGCTGGGGTTTAGTGCACAGGGGTGCCTTGAGGTGAAGCCTAATCTAAATAAAGCAACTATTACAGAAAGTATATTGGTGGTTTATGAGGGCTTATGTAGGGCAAATGTACATTTGTATTGCACAAAAATGCCTTCAATAAGACTACACATTGGAGATAGTGTGGCGTGAAGAGGAAGAGCATGATAGTATGCATTTGGTAGATAAGACAACAAATAAGAATACTTATAAACACAAGGTGTGCAATATAGCATTTCAAAGATGTGTTTTTAGAGATATATTAGCTGGGTATCTGCACAGTAGACACATGCATAATAAATCATCAGACTTACCGCTCTGAGTAAAGAGAACTGCATGGTTATATATGTCAGGTGCTAGAAGAAGGAATCCTGGCAGCGGCAATGCATGCTGGCAGAGTGAAGGGAAAGGTGAAATTGTTAAGTAGATTTAGGATATAAAAATTAATGAAATGCTACAAATATAGCAATTTAGCTTAAAAACACATAATTGTGAGTAAATGAGACACAGAGTATGGACAAAGACTTACTAGGTCAATAATTCATACAGCTCTGGCCTTCACATCAAATATAGGTAAACCTTCATTTTTTTTTTTCTTTTTATTATTAGGAGGACCAGAGCTACTTGAATTCACTATTTTTCTTTTCTTCTTTAAGCTTTTTAATTCCCTTGTTCTCTAGTTGTCCTCAAAATGCTAGCCTGCCCCCGTGCAGGTGTCTCCATCAGTTGTAGGTCCCTAGGCATACACAGCTTGTGTCAAGCCACGCCCCTGCTCTCACAGTGTGACTGACAGCAGAAGGAACCCATCTCTCCTCTGCCCTCACTACCCTCCCCCAAGACCAAGAAGTACAGGGAACACTATGCATCTTCCTGGTCCCGGCGGTGGACACATGAGACTGCAGGTAAGTGGGGGGCCTCTGTTCACACCAGCGCAGTCCATTAGGTATCAAACTATAAAAATACTGCTCGTCTCATTTTCTCTGGTCTGGAATGCACTGGAACGCATGGAAACTAATCAAAACCGCATACAAATGCATGCAAACGCACTGGAACGCACCTGAAAGCCCATTTTAAGCTTTAAAAAAAAACGCTCCAGAACACGGCAAAACACAATGCACCGTGTTCCATATCTGGTCCGAAAAAAGTTGTGAACCTGGCGTTCCAAACTTTGCAGACTAGAAAAAAATGAGACAAGCAGTATTTTTTTGTCTGGTCCGGAATGGACTGCGCTGGTGTGAACAGAGCCATATGGATACATTGGGATGCTTTTTCGGCCCGGGAACAAACTGTTCTGGTCTGCACATGATCCGGACATGGTGTGAACAAGCCCTAAAATCACAAGAGAAAGGCGCTAGTTGGTGATTCAGACAACCAATGTCCATCCATATCATATCAGCAGTACATTGACTCATCCTACAATATTGAAACCGCTTGACCTTAATGGTTTTTATGTAACAATGATAAATGCGACCCCCCACCTTGTTCTCAAACCAGCAGAAGCAAACTAATCTTTTGTCTCATCAATGTATGTTTTGTGCCAATAGCTGCAGATTTACCAGCTTACAGGCTTGGATGATCCAATACCTGGGTCCCTTCTAGATGTGCTAGCCAATAAGATTGAATACATTTGCCAAAATAACTTTACTTCTTTATGTAGATTAGTTTTTCTATTAAATGCCACACTTGCTCTAGCAATCCAAAGTACATGTAGAAATACTTACATTATAAAATAATGCTTCTTTAGAATGTTTTCCATATTCCTTATAGAGTGTCTCCTGAAAGATTCCCATCCTGGCTGACACCACAAGGGCAAAGGTCAAAGCAGCAATACCTGCGAGACACAGCAGAAACATATTCATCAAGGCAAAGCCAAAAATACCTCCATTATCTCACTATTCTAACAACCATGCATGCTTTACTAAGTGACATCACTTACTAAATGTTACTTAAGCCATCAAAAAAGAATCTTAATAGGGTGTTTAATGTGATGTTTTAAACCTAAATGACAGTTCTATTGCTATGATCTACTTTCCTTCCACCTCATTTACATTTCAAATGCCATAAGCATAAAAGAGATGTTTTCCAGGCACACGTCAAGTGTTCTTAGTGGAAAGAATGGCTCTGAATCTTAATTCTGATTTTCATATATACCGAGGCACCCACAGACCAATTGGCTGTGGGATTTCTTTTTAAAGGGATCACAATACAATACAGGGATCACAATACAAGTTTCTAGAGGCTTTAAATCAATGATAAGATTGGTGAAAAATAAAATTGACATTTGAAGTATCCCGATAGAAAAATGCTAATTGTCATGCAAAGATCTTTGCCTTTTCTTAAAAATGTGCATGTGATGTATGGAAGCTTCCTGGAACAAACTGTCAGGCAGTTAAAAGCAAGGTATACATTAAACACCATGAGCCATATGATCCACAAATGCAATGACATGTGACAAAGATATTATGGACACTCAGAGCACTCAGTTAGAGCGCCACTTTAACTTATATCAACCTTTAGCACACTTCAGTTTAACTTGTATATTATCTCTCTTTGTATCCTTGGTTTGGGAACTTGTGGTTTGTTTAGGCTACATCTTGCCAATATTAATGATATTGTGCCAAGGACACAACTTTCATTTTAAAACAATTTGCACATGATGTTGATTTCACAATATATCTAACACATATTTTAATGAGTAGTTAACGCCTAGAATACATTATTAATAATGATGTCAATAAATATCAGTTGTGTATCCTAATAAAGTAGAAACTCCTATACAGACGCACGTGTGTCCACGTCAGTTTCCCTCGCATTATGCTATATGGGTGCACCTTAACCTTTTTCTTCTAAGATGGGTGTGGTATTGAATTAAATTCTGCCTAGGACACACGGAAATATAATTTAGATATTCAAGTTACAGCAAGTCTTTTTATTCACCAAGAAATAGTGATCACATATTTTTTCAGGATATAATGAGCTACAGGATTCAACCAATTATAAAAACAAGTCCATACTCTGCTTAATGAGACAAAAACTCCAACCCCAACATTTCCCTTTCTCCTTCAAGGAAATCCCACTGCCTATACCTTTCACTATGATAGGTGGAGATTCAGCCTACTTGTGCTATGGACTAGATATGGCAAAAAGCTGGTAAGAATACACTGGCTAAAATGACAAGTGACGCTCAGTGGTCATTTTGACAGCAAATTTCGATTTCATTTTAGTCAGTCTTTTTAATAAAATGCTATTTAGTTTTAGTCATATTTTAGTTATGTGAATTGTTTTAGTCGACTAAATCTACAGTAGAAAAAAATTCTAGTGGGTTTAGTTAAAGAGTCATTTAAGAATTTCTCTAAAATTTCCAATCTCATGATATACTCCTGGAGTAAACATCTGTTAACGTGTTTTTACTTATGGTATTAAGGTTTGAACGTGCGATACAGACAAATTACGGACAGTTTTTAAGGAACCGACTTGAAATTCGCAGCGTGTGGTCCTGTCGGTACCCTTCAGCTGATGGAAGGAGCCTGCCGGAAATAATTTCGAACGATCAGAGCAGGCAGCCAATGAGCTGCCCGATCTGGTCGGGTATTCTGACAGGTGCCAGCAGCCGCTGTATGTAAACAGTGGGGATTCCTCAACCAACACGCTGTTAATGGGAAAATTGGGTCTATCTTTTTTTTGTTCAGCCCGAGGCTTGAACGACAAAAATAGATCAGTGTATAGCCATCCTTAAGTGTTGTGATATATAACATGTCTTTATTTAGCTTAAAATTGAAATAAATCAAGTCTTATAAAGAAAAAATAATATTGGTTATTTTCAACAAAAGACCAATAATTAGTAGGGATGCACCGATATATCGGCCGAAAATGGCACTTTTGGCTAAATGCCGAAAGTGCCATTTTCCTGCCGATACATCGGCGCGTCCGTGATTTCTTTCCTCCCCGCTGGGCGCTGCTCTGTGTCCCAGCGGGGAGGAGAGAAAGTGACAGCCGGCCAAGCGCTGCGTGAGGAGAGCGCTGTGAGCGGCCGGTATCTCTCCTCCCACACCGCTCGGCCGCCTATCACAGTCCGGCAGAGCGGTGTGGGGGGCGGAGACATCGCTGTCACGGAGGCTGGGCTCTCCACTCGCTCAGCCTCCTGTGACAGCGTGCCAGAGAGGAGAGCGAGAGCAAACACTCGGTGATCAGTGATCGCTGAGTGTTTGTACATAATTGAGGACATGGTATAGTTAATATATCCTCAATTATGAATGAATGGGAGTGATCTACATCACCTCCTGTTCATTCATAATTGTGCTTATAGTAAACAAACAATGTTCTCATGTTATGAATGAACAGGAACACTCATAGAGAATTCCTGTTCATTGATAACAGGGGACACAGAAAAAGAGAGTTTCAGGACTCTCAAACATTGAGAACATTTTCGGTATCGGTTTCAGCCTGACAATTTTTTCTATTTCGGTTTTTAAATTTCTATTTTGGTGCACCTCTAATAATTAGATATGCGTTGTAGATATTATCTTTATTATAACAACTTCCATTGCCATTCTTCATTCTTTTAAGCAGAAGTGCAACTCTAAAATATTGCAATGAAAAGCTATAATGGGTGTAATGAAATTGCACATATTACTTATTAGCCGTCCATTCAGCATGGAACCGGAAGTCCAAAGAGATTAGTTCTAATTAGCTTTTTTCCCCAAATCGTCTCTCTCCCTAACATTTTAGTCTAGTTCTAGTTAGTCGACTTAAATGTCAATATATTTTTGTTATACTTTCAGTGATCATAACTTAGTTTTTATTTAGTTTTAGTCACGGAGAAAATTTTGTTGACCAAAGCTATGACTAACATTATTAGTCAACGAAATTAACACTGGCGACACTGTTGTCACTGCACTGTAGCAACCTAACGACCTTTCTACTCAGGTGCATTACCTTAACGCACATGCCATATGTTGTGTCTTGATGCGCATTGCATTTTAGCAAAACAGCACATCAAAAAGCAAGGTAGTATGTTACCATGCACTGAGACACTCTGCAATACATGCGCTTTCCCTTAGTGGTTTCAGAAATGAATGGCACCAGTAGGTGTATGGTGCATGCTTGCTTTGTGGTAATGTGCAAATGCTGTAAATGGGTCTTTAGGGGAAGTGCATTTCATTTGAATGCGTCACCTAATACACTAAAAAGGACATGAAATCATACCAGCTCCCTTTTTTTGGTATCACAGTGTACTGCTATGTATGGCAGTGCATTAGTTTGTTTTAATGAAGGTGTGATTTGAAGATGCGTTGAGATGCCATTCAATATGAATGGCACTGTAGTGCACCAATACACACAACGTTGCCACAGCACAATGGTTTGAATGAGACCTTCTAGTGTAGCAGCCTGTATAAGGTTGCTTCAGTGATGCAACAACATATCTTCACTTGTTATTTTAGCCAGCGTATTTCCGAGTGTAATTTGGCAATATCCAAATCATATCACAAGTAGTATAAATCTCCACATTCCGGTTTAAGCATTGCCAGGTTGACAATTTATTGTCTAAGGTAAAAAAAGTCAATTACCTAAAAGCCACCAGAGAAAAGTTACAAATCCCTCGTCGTCATTGGATGCCGAGTGAGAAGCCTGCAGAATGAATAAAATGCATAGAGCTTAGATTAAGTAGAACGACCAAACTAAGCAGTACACAAAATATGACATGCACTTTTTTTTATAACAATGAAAAAAAAAAAAAAAGCTAGTTGTAAAAAGTATGAATTTCCCTCATCAGCAGTATTTTTGCCTTCAGCACTATCAACTTATATTATTTTATAACCCAATTACTATTTAAATGTCAAGCCAATAAAAAAGTGCTATATTAGTTGTAGGAGAGGAGTAGGTTGAGTGCGACCCTAGCGACCGAGCTGCATCGACCATTCACAGATTCCTTGATATGGACTTTGGAGCAGAGGCTACTTTACAACACACACACAGGGACCATGGGGAACAAAAGTAGCCCCCCTCCAGAAGGAAGGAGAGTGTCATCATCCATTCAGGCCTTGTTCCCACCAAGCGTGTTCCAGGAGCAGAGCAGTTACAGAACGGATCACAACTGCGTCCAATGTATTCCAATTGTATTTTGGGCTCTAGTACACAACGCAACGTTCAGTTCCAAAGCATGTAAAAAAAACTGCAGCAAGCCCTATTTTTCCTGCTCTGGAACGCATGCAAACACATCAAAAATGCATGCGAACGCACTGAAAGCCCATTTTAAACTAAAACAAAAAAAATAAAAAATGTTTTACCAAAAACGGCCCGGAACGCATCAAAAACGTGGCAAAAAACGTGGCATAACACACTGCACTGCGTGTGCAGAAACTCATGCCGATCCGGTCTGCATTTGCTGTGAACAAGCCCTCAGAGATGATTTGAGGATTTACAGCCCAATGATACACAAATCAGATACATTTGTGTTAATAGTTAGGGCACCTAAATGCGTTTTTAAGATTAAACACCTGAGTTTAGTGTCACTTTAAATACAACAACAAACTATAGTACTCTCCTGATCCCCTCAGCCTACAAACCTATGGTCTTGATGGGAAGAATTATACAAAAATAAAGACAAATTTAGAAGACTACAAGAATGTGGTTTAAATGTCTACAATGTGTCTGATTTGTATTGTGCAGAAAAACAATAAAAAATATTTTAAAAGGAGAATTATGAGGCGAGTGATTTCCACTCAGCCTCATAATCTGAGCCGACCTGTGACAATGAAACTGTCACAGGTCGGCTCAGTAGATCGGGTAGTGAGCAAACACATACCGGCGCTCGCTCGCTTCTCGATCCTGTGCCGGCAGAGAGCCGTGACAGGGGATGGACTGGATTCCCCCCTCCACGCTCCGATCCTCCAGCGCTGACTGGCGGAACGGACGGGGGCGGGTACAGCTGGCTCTGCCTCTAGATAGGCAGAGCCAGCTGTCACTCGCGCAGCTTGGTGGATCCAGACATAATTGTCGGGATATGTTCCGGCTGCGACGTCTCAGTATACCGCGAGCTACAGCTCGCGGTATACTGAGCTAAGGGTGACGGGAGGACGCTAGTTTGTGTCCTCCCGTTACCCTAAGGAGAACTATGGGGAAAAGCCCTAACCCCTTAGGTTCTCCTTTAAAGGTAAAGAAGTAACGAGAGAAGTATGTGAGCTACATTCTGACCTTCTACTGAAAATGTAAGATGCCCGGCTGTCAGCGTCAACAATTTCAGCCCCTGACCCAAAACACAGCACGCAGATCAGGAATTCTGACTCCACTTGCTGCATGCTGTTCTTGGCTAATGAAGCCAGAGGATCAGTCTGATAGCCAGAATACCTTCATTTGCAGAAGGATGTCAGCAATGGAATTCTACATATTTCTTCCAGAACAATATTCCTATAAAAGCATATTCAACTTTAATTATAAAAACCTTTTCTAAATCTTGTGGTCTAGAAAGACTGAATTGTACTTGACACTGGCAAATTGGGATACAACCACAGTCATCCACATAGCCATTTACGCTTTTGCATTTCCAAAAAATACACTTAGATGTGCCTTTTAGTACATGTTTGTTTGCTTTTTAATGCGTGTGTGTGTAAAAAATGCACCTCACCATGTTAAAAGTATTAACAAACATACATGTTTCAGACTTATCTTCAACTAATAAAATCTGTAGTATGTTGCAGGGGCATGCTTCAATATACCAAATGCTTGGTACTAGAGATTGGTAAAGAGCCAAGAAAGCTTACCACTTGCTTTGCAGACATCAGTGTGCAAATAAAAATTCCAAAAGAGACTAGCCCAATTGACAAGTATTTGGAAATGCTGTACCTGGAAAATAAGAATCAAATGCATTTGAAGTAGTTATGGATGGAGGCAATGCAGCTATCGGATTACATTAGACATATTGGGACTTGTATATCTCTAAATAGACCATTCACCCCATTTGAGAAACTTTGCTTGAAGGAAACAAACATTGAACATGCACTATCGGTGGTCTATGGTCTATTGAGAGAAGGAGGAAGCTAAAGGACATACAAAGTATATGAAGAGATGGGAACAAGACCTGAGGAGAGAGATTTCAGAGAAGGATTGGGGAAGTATATTTAGCAGGGATCCGATGAGAAATGGAGCGCTGCAGCCGGTGGGGGGGGATTCCGTGAGAAAAGGGCGGGCGGATGCGGGGGGGGGGGGGGTCAGCAGAAGGAGCTGTCATCCAGGATGGCCAAGTGGTGAGAAGAGAGAGCCGGCTTTCTTTCCTCACCGCTCGGACATCCTGAAATGACAGCGCTCCCTCCTCGACTCAGCAGCTCATGTGGATCCCAGACAGCTGTGTTCTAGAACCGCTGGCTTTCAGAAAAAAAGATTAAGTACTTCCTCCCCAGATTTATTCCAACAACTGCATTGGGTTGTTGAAGATACCCGACGCTGGCACCGCCCGTTGTGGACAATGTACGAAAGATGGTGTCTAGGAGCTCCCGGTCTAGGAGGGGGGGATCTCCATAATCTACGCGGCTCAGCTTGGCCCATTCACTAAATTGTCCTATATGGATGCTTGGGAAACTGAGTTAGGGGAAGTTCTCTCTACAGATGAATGGAAACAGTGTACCATGAGATTAACTATGGGGTTGCTTAATGTTTCCCTATTAGAAGCCAACTACAAAGTCTTCTCTAGATGGCACCTGGTACCAGCAAGGATAGCCAGCATGTTTTCAGGGTCCATTCCTTTATGTTTTAGAAGATGTAATCAGCAGGGCACGATGATCCATGTCTAGTGGCAATGCCCAAAATTGCGTTCCTTCTGGAACCGCTTTTTTGCGTTGCTTTCAAGGATCTTCTAGGTGCATGTTCCAAGAGACCCCCAGCATCGGCTATTGAATAAACCAGTTATGGGGATCTCAAAGGCGCAGGGCAAACTATTATCTTTCTTTTTCCTAGCAGCCAAGACATCAATAGCTCAGTACTGGAAAGCCGAAGGGTCCCATTCTCAATGGTACTATCTAAATTAAATTGGATCATGACACATGAGAAGCTGTATAGCATCTTACAGGATAGATACCTACATTTCCAAGCGGTATAGGACCCATGGCTGTCATATCTAGGAATTCTGAACTCTCCTCGCACGTCGTCAGCCAACCCAGGTTAAGTACTGACTATGAAATCCGGAGCTCAGGAGTCTCTATCCCTCTATTCTTTTTTTCTTCCCTTTCTCTTCTATCCTTCCTCCTATAAACCCATGTTTCCGTTTTGGACCCTTGGTGTGCGGTGTGAACGAGCCCACCAAGGGAATTTATCATATGTAATCTCAGTATTTAATAATGGTATCCCTAATGATAAAATTGAAATTACCATTACATTACCCCACCGATAGGAAATGGATGTTTATTAGTCAGAATGATGTGCAGCCAACAAGATCAGAACGGCATGCACTAGAGTTAAGGGGGGGAGAGGGGATACAGTGCTGAGATCATAGGCTTATTTGATATGTTACTGAGCTACATATGACATGTGAATGTAGCAAACTGTTTTTTGTATAAGATGGAAACTAATAAAAACTTTGAAATACAACAACTGCATTGGATGTTCTGGATGTTCTGAATGACATCTGCATTTACTGTGTGAGCGTCAAATGCTTTTGAAACCAAATGCAATGTCAGTCAGAATTTAGCAATCACAAATTTGTGAAAGAGTACGCATTTTCAGTGCAGTTTCACATGTACTTTACTACACCACAAATGTGAACAGAAGCCAGGCTTGAGAACAGCTACAAGTGAGAGAAGTGTGGAGTCATTCTTTGTGAATCAGGCAGGGACAGATTAAACAGCTCACTCCCATCTAACTGCGCAGCTTCTGAGATGTGACATTGTCAATGCCTATATTATTGGTCGGGCCGGATGTGCTGTATGGGACACTGAATTTACAGAGATGCACCCACATACCTCTTATGTAGAATCAGGATACCCAGGACCATGTTTGCTATCAATGATCCCTGGAAAAAAAAAGGTTGTTGAACCATTATGAACAGCTTAGACAGAGCTACACAATAGCAGACGGTTTCTATAATTAATAAAACAGTCACTTAATTAAATTTGTTTTAAAAAGCTCAGGATTAGCTGAACAGTGTGTAGTAGATAATATTCAATAAGGGCCCAGGATATGTGTATTCTGTAAGCTAATTCATAAAAAAAAAAGGGTGGTAAGCAGAATCACACTTGTTCTAAAATACCAGCTTTACACGAAAGACAAAAAAGTATATGCACACTGGGAATATGATTGTAAAAGTCACAAATTATGCCAAACACTAAGGCTGGGTTCACACCTAGGCGTATAGAAAATGCGCGTTTGTCGCGTGTTTCGGAGGGCTACCTGGCTGTATCCCAATGGATACACGCGGCAAATACGCCCCAAAGAAGCTCCTGTACTTCTTTGGGCGTAGGGCGTTTTGCAGCGTGTTCCTACGTGCTGTAAAACGCCCAGGTGGGAAACATGCCCATAGGCAATTATTGGTTTTCACATGTTGAGCGTTTTACAGCACGTAGGAACGCGCTGTAAAACGCCCAGGTGTGAACCAGGCCTAAAGGGTGTATTTAAACAATTTGCAGAGCCATTTGTCATATGAAACTGCATAAACATTTGTTCTGTGCGAATGAAGGCAATAATGAATGCAGTCAGAAAATGTATTTCCAGGTAAAAATGTAATATAAAGGCAATTTCTGCATTATGGCCAGTAGTTGGAGCTGAGGAGAATAGGGAAGTAGTATTTATTTCCCATGCTGCTCAGCTCCATCTACTGGCCATAACCTGGTATTTTCTGATATTACATTCGACCTGAAAAGAAAATATGCTAATATTCATTTTTGCCTCCATTCACACAGAACAAATGTAAGTGCAATTTCATGGGACGAATGGCTCTGAGAATTGTTTATAAATACACACTTATGAATGCAACCATTCACTTTTTTTGTATTTAAAAGGTGTTGATATTTTAGATTTAGCTTAAAGTGCAGCCTTGAATGTGATGTGTGTGAGTTTTCTTTTTTCAGCCTTCTTCCCTGTGTCACCTGGCAGTCCTGCCAGTAACACAATTCCTATCCTAGGATGACAGTGCCAATTCCCTGTACTGTATCCATGGAGGAGCAGTATTGCCAGCCTCAGTTGCTCTCCTGATTTGGCCTACAGAACACCTCCCATTCTCCCCCATCTCCATAACAGGAGGGGGAAGGTGTTCTGTAGTCTGCATATGAGAAATGGATTTAACTGCAACAGAGGCAGACGGCACAGGAAACTAGAAGCTCACTGGATTTCTGGCAGGATTAACATGCATTGTTCTGTACTGCATTTTAAAGAAGTAAAAGATGCATAAATGTCCATGTAACAGAAAGATATTCTGAATATGTTTTTTTTTTTTGCCCAGATGTAAACGTTTATTTTCACCTGAAGGGAAATGTAATAAAAAGGTGCAGGTGTCGTTCTACTCACCGATCTAAATATCATGTGTAGTGGCATTGAAATATTGAGGTTGAGTGCATAATTATTCACCACGCTGACTGTAAAAAACATAGCCACCATGATAAAATAATACCTTAAAGAAGAAAAGAAGAATAAGTCAAGTTTGATTCTACAGCTCCTAAAATTAAGAGGCCGTTGTGTTCAGGACTCACAAATCCACTATACCTTAATGGTATGGCAGGACGCTTTCTTCCAAAGTCTGCCTGAAAGATAAAGCCTTCTACTGCTATTAATAAAAACTGTGCAAACGTCACTATATTCCCACATCCTGGAAACTTCCTGAAAAAAAAAGAAACACATTAACAAAATACATTGCAAGACCAACTTATACTATTGTGTTGTGGTAAGGTGCACGTTACATAATGCAAACTATTGTGTGTTATCAGCAGTGCGGTACAATTCATTCTGATGTGGTGCTGCACAACAATGCACTATGGCGCACCGCTAAGAATGCTGCAAGCACCTTTTTGGCGTGTTTAGATGCATTAGGCAGCCTATTTAAATGAACAGGCTGCCTAACCGTAAAACATGTTAAAGAGCAGCATAACGCACCGCAATAGTGTGAATAGGCCCTAAAAGAAATATAAAATGATGGCAATATATAACACTGCACACAGCAATACAACCTTTTTGCAGCATTTCATGTATTCATTCAAATGTCTATGACTGTATAAGGTAGGGACAAAGAATACACGGACATAGATAATAAAGCAAACAAAGACTTGTTTGTCATTAACTAGGTTATCTATAGGTCTGAATTAATGTGTGCAAATGACTGCCCTACTAAGATAACATCACAATCAGCTCCGTCTATGGCAGCTTTTGTCCATGCTTTGCTTCACCAACATTAGACTTGGCAAGGATCATTTCTATAAGAAATATACAGAGACATAACTCACCCAAGATGCTGAATGTCATAAGCTCCAAGCCGCCAAAATTACAGCAATTTGGACATTGTCAAACGTTTGTAGTGGACAGAGCTTGCATGATATGGTCAAAGTTAGAAGTGGTCCACATGTCTGTGGACTCACCACTGGGAGGAATTACTCTGAACCAGTGCAAATAGAATGTGGAGCAGTTGTCCATAGTAACCAATTAGCTTCTCTCTTTAATTTGTTCACTTAAGCTTAGAACATGAAAGATAGAAGCTCAATAGTTGCCATGGGCAACTGCACTAGATTTTGTAAATTCCCTTCATTTTGTCTGCAGACTTTCAGGCCTGAAGAACTTCTCACATGCCATGCTGGAACCTCTGAGCACCACAATGGTAAGAAGTCTGTAGACAGCTTATTGCTGTGGTCAAAGTCACCGAATATTTGCAGACATTAAGCTCTAGAAACTCATGCCCACAGAAACAGGATCATGAAGAAGAATAAGGCCTCGTTCACACGGGTGTTCCAGCATTCCTGCAGCAGGAACCTACGGATTCCTGTGGCAGGAATGTCAGGTGTCTCGTTTAGATGCGGCCGTTGCACCAATTCAAGTTAATGACCAGGTGACAGCGGACGCACCATACCACATGTAATCGTATATGACACGATTACATGCAGTTAAGAATAGATCACTGTCGCTGGACACAAGATAGATGTGTCCAGCGACAGTAATCTATTTCAAATCGCATGTATTATATATGCTTTCATGCGGACTGCCGCTTCCACATGCGGCCGCTGTCACCTGGTCATTACCTTGAACAGGAGCAGAGGCCGCATCTACACGGGATACCTGGCATTCCTTTCACAGGAATCCTTAGGCTCCTGCTGTAGGAATGCCAGAATGCTCAGTGTGAACGAGGCCTTATTCTTCATGATCCTGTTTCTGTGGACGGCATCTAAACAGGACACCTGAGGTTCCTGCTGCAGGAATTCCAAATTGCCCAGTGTGACTGGGGCCTAAAAACAGGTTGATGTGCCTGTGAACACAGTACTGTACTAATAAATCTGCAAAAAGTCTTATTCTAGCAGATTGGTAGACAGGAAAATATTCCCTTATTATCCATAGATCCAGCAAAAGGGTCCTCCTATGTAAAAAATAAGCACACCTTAAAACAAAGTGCATTTATTTTCTCCCCCTCCCCAAATATATACTTACTTTGATCTGACGCCTGCAGCCTCCAGAGAGTGTTTACATCCTGCATCACAAGTCCTCTCTAGAATTCTGTAGACGGTGCAATCTGTGCAGTGACTCGTCTACCTCCATCAGGCCAGGAGACAAGTCCTATAAACTTTTATGGGGCTCCACTGTGCAGAGATAGCCAGCATAGAGAGAACTTGCAGCAAGGGATGTCAACAAAGACAGGAGGCCCCGGGTGTCAGATCTTGATAAATATGCATCTGTGGAGGGGAAGGAGGGTTTTGTCTGAAAGTATTCTTAATCTTTACAGTGTATGTCCAGATAAAACCTTTTTTTTTTTTATTTATGAAGGATTAAAATTGCTATCAGGTTTTTACTGACATCCAGGGTTCCGTTAGAGAGATTTCCCCTCAGTTCCTAACCCTCAGGCAATGTTTAACCAGACAGGAAGTGAAGTTCACTCTTTAGAAGCAGCACAGACAGCAGTAAAGGAATCTTAGAATTCTTGTCGGATTGTTATTTCTGTCCATGTCCTTTTTGCAGATTTTCCTGTTGTCAGCAGGGCAGGAAGTCAGAGTAAACCACACTAATGGAGCCCCGGATAGCAGTAAAAACCTGACAAGGTTTCTAATCCTTCACAACTCTGTCCAAAACTAGAAAAAAAGGTTTTGGCTTGACATACATTCCATAGTATTAATCCCACCAACATTTTTTTTATTCAAAGACTGGAAAAGCTTCAGAACCTTTGTCAGGTTTCCCAGTCAGGGAGATTGGCTCATTTCCTGACCTGCTGACAGAAGTAAGGAAATATAATTGGGGCTATAGACAGGAACAGAAACATGACAGCGTTTTTAAGCCCGTCTCCTTCCTACTAATAAAAGGTGTTGTCAGTGTCTCCACAGTAGAAATTCTCAATTCCTGTCTTGCGGCATTAGAAGTGAATGGAAATGTGCCCATGGGGACTGCAAACAGTAAAAGGAAAAGCTAACAGATGTTACGATTCTTCTTCCAAACTAGACAAAATGTTCTGACTGCTGTTCTACCTACTTTACTTATTGAGTACATGTATTACTGGAATGATGGCATGCTGTACATAGTCGTATACGGGTTAAAACACCCTGTGCTAAACAAAACAGAATACGGATATTTTATTATTTTAGTAAAACGTGTTTCTAAGTGCCACCAGTCTCCTGCAGTCCCTTTGCTGCCATATTACATCTGCACTGCAGCGATAGCTTTATGACATTTCTCATAGTGGGCTTCCTGCTGGTGACAACAGTGGATCATGTGTAATGTGCATTTAAAGAAGACCCTTTATTAACCTTTGCAGTGGGGCTACCCCCACACGGTAAAGAGTAAGTGCTCATTTTCGTCTAGGTGCTAAAATTTAAAAAAGCTCTACTCACCCAAACCTCAGAGCTGACTGGCTGTCACAGCGCTCCCTCCAGCCTGTCTCCTCCTCTGCTGTATTGTGTATTGGACGTGAGATATGGCGAATGGTCCATGTGCTATGCGCTGGGCTGTTGGCCGGGGGAGATTGATGTGCATTGCGGACTGGTGTCCTCTTAACGATTGTATGGACGCCGGCGAAGGCCCCTGCGTAATGCGCGGATTTATTTGCCTGGCGTGGGTACATTTGCTTTAGGGACACAGTATCATTTCGGATACATATCTGCCTTTATGAAAGGAACAGACGTTCGTGTCTTTTTGGTGCGTCTGATCAACGCGCTGGAAATAATATGGCGTTGTCCCTGCAGATAAACTCGCATTCATGAGAACCGTAGTATAATCCTGCTGGGCATCTTTCACTGAACAATGCCTGGTAGAATTCGCTCCAGTGGCAGGAGTATATGCGCGGGTCTGGTTGGAACGGCGTTGCGGTTCCTTAGTGTAGTTATAGGCACATGGTTTTCCATTGTTAACGAGTGTGCACGGAATTCACATGCACTAGCAAATACTGCCCCTTCTATTGTCTATTGAAGTGTATACATGTGTCTCATTGGCTGACTGTTATGTAAATGTATTGAGGGAGTGGTGGCTGTTGGAGCCAGCACTTCCTGCTGTTACCCCTGTAAATAAATGGATCTCAATGCATTAGCTAGGACTATATACCGAGGATCCAACGTGACAACAGCGAGTGTCTGTTTCTTACTTGGCTGCTCGATCAAATTATACAAAGAGAGCTGAGAACTGTGCTTTTAAGCGCAGCGGATTTCTGTGCGGAGGAAGCGTATATTCATTTCTATAACACCAGTGTAGTGGAGGAGGAAGAAAGCTGGAAGGACAGTCTAAGAGCAAGCAAGCTCAGAGGATCACGCGAGTATAACTTTTTTTATTTTAGCACCTAGACGAAAACGTAACCCTTGCAATGCGGGGTAGCCCCACTGCAAGGATTGATCAGTTTTATGCCCAGAGTTCTGCTTTAAACAGCCACTTGTAGTCACCGTGGGATGTCCCATGCAACAATGCAGGAGTACAAGCGAGAGGCAGTGACAAAACAATGTCAACTTACAAGTGCCTGCACAGGAGTCACAACAGGATCACTGGGTTTGATTTTGATGAAAAGCATACTAAAGATGACTTTTTACCACCTCCCTACCACCGTATTGTAAAAACAAAAGCGGAGAGGTGGACATCTATTTCTGGAATTATGTTTTGAATCGTCATTCCAGAAATAGCTGTTGAGTGCCCGCTAATCTCTTGTGTGGCTTGGTACCTTGTGATCGCTCTGATGACTAAATCGCATCAGTCACATGGTAGAGTTTACAGTGCAGATCCCTCCCCTTCTTGCTTTTGCTGGGATTTGTAGTCCTCTATAGCCGTTGCCATTCTGCATGCATTGCTGTATATTTACACTTTCTATTTCACTATATTGCACACCACACTAACTTTTTTCTTTTTTACTTCCACCGGTGCAAGCTTGCTCCTGTGATGGACTACAACCTCAATACAAACTAATAGTCCCATCACTGGAGCCATTTTTTAAACTTTATTTTATTGTTTATCCTATTAACCGAACTTAATAATCGGCTAACTAATCGATTTTGAAAATAATCGTTAGCTGCAGCTCTACTTACAACAGAAGAACTGTAATAATCTGTGGATGGGAGAATGAACGAATGGGTCAGCAGCAGCCTCCTATACTACTAATCTTCAGCCATCCTCTGTATTGTGACCTGTATAGTAACCTTTCATCTGCCTGATCCTGCACATTAACCCCTTCATCTCCATCCTGCTACAGTATGTGTCCTGTTCATTAACCCCTTCACCTCCTGATGCCTCTGTGTATGACCTGATGTGTTGGATACTGAGCCATTATCAAAATCTTTGGTATCTTTTCCTAGTTTGATGCAAATTAAGATCACCAGCACTCGATGAATACTTGACAAGACTGGTGATCTTCATTTGCATCAAGACTTGGTATTGCACAGCGCCATCCTTGATCATCACTGCGAGCACCACCATTTGCTGTATGGTCCTAAATGCTGTAAGGAGTGCAGGGGATTAGGGATGCACCGATACCGATTCAGTTCTCGCAGATACTGAATACCGATACTGGACGTCCCATTAAGGAACCCAGGCTGCATGTCATGACTCACCATCTGGTTTCCTGATTAGCAGGGAAGCCGTCTCCATGCTCCCTCGTCACCAGGTGGAGAGCATGAAGCTGGCTTTCTGGCCAATCAGAAAACCGCTGGGCATGTAATAACTCACCGTCTGGCTTCCTGATTGGCCAACTTCCTGTACAATCAGGAAGCCGGGCAGCGAGTCATTACACACTGCCTGGCTTCTCGATAGGCCGGGAAGCTGGCGCCATGCTCCCTTGTCACTTGTAATGACTCGCTGCCCGGCTTCGTGATACCGGAAGCTCAAGTATCGGGCTAGGCATCGAAGCATTTGGGCGAGTACGAGTACTCACCCAAATACTCGGCATTGGCACGGATACCGATACTAGTATCGGTGCATCACTACAGGGGATGCATGTGGACGCTGGTATTTTTTCTTGCTAAAGCAAAAAAAAACACACCAAAAAGCAGCAGGTATTAAATACCACCAAAAGTACAAATATCAAATCAATTTTGGTACAGTTACATAATTGAGTCACTATCAAAGTATCACGGCACTGAAAACTGGCCTGGTAATGATGTGGGGGGGCTTGGGTGCACAAAACTGTCACTTCCACCCCGCTCCCGGCCAATCAGCTGTAATAGGGTCACTCCCGCCCCACAACTACACATCACAAAAGGGGCAGGGAATGCTCCATCACAACTGATAGGGCCTGGAGATGGGTGGAAGAGACAGTTTTGGCTCAGGTGAACTGCCGTCACTATTGGTAATAGAGGTATACCAAGGCTAGTACTGAACTGGTTCATGAAGAATATTCCAAATGAAATCTATTATGTGAATTTAGTGATAGGGTTTACAACATAGGAAACTAAATTGGTGAACATAAGGCCATGTTAGCAGTGCTAAATACAGTCCACCATCGCCTGGCTCCCAATATACATACATGATCTCAGGCGATCTGTATACATACCCAGACACAGCTCCCCCCACATCATAGCACAACATTCGGATCATACAATGTCCACACTGTCCACGTGTCAAAGATTTGCTATATGGACTCAACCACACGGATCACTGCGAAGCTCATTAACCACGTACGAGAAATGAATGAACGTACACAGCTCCCGTAATTCTAATCTCTCACCTGGCTAACAGTTCTAAAAACACCACATTGCTGCAGCAGCCACAGAACACCAGACCTACAGCCACCGCTGGGTGCATACTGGCGAATCACCCCGGTACACAACAGTCGGTTCTATACACTCCTCCGTCCCCGACTACCAGCTTCACAAGCCGCCACCAATAGCTGACGCGTCCGCTGTGCGCGCACTGCATGCTGGGAACTGTAGTCTCTTCGGGGAGCAGGTGCAGATAGCTAAGGCCGGTGTGCAGAGTATAGAGAAATACAACACCCAGCATACACCGCGGTGCCGGTTTGCAAGAATGCAGGCTCATCGGCCGAGCTTGTTATTGGCCGGTGTCCTGGAGCTAAGAAACGGAACTGAACAGTTGATGATAGAACGCTTTGTGTGTTCACCCGGCGTCGGGGATGGGAAACGATGTGGTCTTTATATGAAAGAGATCACTTATATAGAGTCATTCCCTGCACACGGCTGATGAAAACACTGATATAAAATGCGTTTTCTAGCAATACGTAGAATTACCAAAACAGAACCCTGCGAAAGAAGAGTTTTTAGAGTGCATGCAAGGCAAAACTTTGTGAACTAGAGAATGGTGACGCTGTCAGTGTGTAGACGGGCAGATTTTCATTTACTTCCTGTCCTGGAGACACTGCCGGATACCAGAGGAAATCCACCAAGCGCTGGAAAAGCGCTTTTAAATGCCCAACACAAGACACCCCATGATTTTCAATGGCCCCTGTTCACGCCTAAGCAGCAAAATGCCAGCAGGAAAACCCCCAAAAGGTACATGAGCTTCTTTGGGCAGTTAACAGCTTGTTTTTACCCCATAGACTTCAATGGAAACGCATGGCAGAAGCATGTTGCACATTTTTTTGCGCGTTTGTACAGGCGTTCGACCATTGCCCACAATGTTTCACAAGCTGCCAGTCAAAATGTGCAAAGCGCGCATAAACAATTCATCCCCACACAGCTACCTCCTCATGTATCCCTTGCCCCTCCCTTTTAGATTGTAAGCCCTCACAGATTGTAAGACCACACCTGTGGTCAGGTGCAAGACTTTAACAAATCAGAGCTTTAGTGGGCATTTTGTATTATGGAATGTACGCGGTCGAACAGACCGCGAACATCCCATAAAGTTCGGCGCTCGGCGAGCACTCGAACTGCCGATGTGCGATTCCAACTCATGTTCGAATCGAACACTCAGCCCATCCTTAGCCATAATAAACGTGCAAATAACCACACGGCTGAACACGCACATACAGAATTGCAAAAATGATGCCACCTACGTGTGAACCCAGCCTCACACAGGTGCAGAGGTCCATATAACATAAAGAACATTTGGAATGCTGCTCCAATTGTATGGTGTGTGCACAGGTATGGATGTACGTCTCTGGACACAGACTGCATTACACAAGTAAACATTCCGAGGCAAATTTATCAAAACTGGAGCAGGCAGAATCTGGAGCAGTTGCCTATAGTACGATACCGGTATTTTGGTACCGAGTACGAGTACCGATCTTTTTTTTCAGTACTCGCCGATACCAATTACCGAGTAACGGAAGTCCCATTCAGGAAGCCGGGTGGCGTGTATTAACTCGCCTGACGAGGGAGCATGGAGCCGGCCTCCCGCCAATCAGAAAGCAGGGTGTCGCGTCATTACACGGCACCTGGCTTCCTGATTGGCCGGGAAGCATCTGCACCTGCCCTCTGCTGCTGTCAATCACTAGTAGAGATCCTGATGGAGAACTTCAGGTCCCCCATACTGAAGATAGCGCTAGGTCTTACTATCGGGGTAGGTCTTACTTACTTGAAATAGCCAATAGGAATCTAGCTATGCATTCCTATGCCGGGAGCCGCTATCTAATAGCGGGGGTGTTGGGATGTCTTTAGGCGACCCCTGGCAAATCGTCATTCAACCCCGACGGGGTCGCGACCCACAGGTTGAGAACCGCTGTGCTAGGTGGTCTAATCTAATAAGAAAAAACAAAACTTGCCGCACACCTTACTGTGACTCCCCATATAAAGACGGGTGCTCGAAATGACTGCGGATGGCGCCGCCACACATAGACAAAAAGGGAGACGTCACCAGCGCTCCAACAACAATAATAACAGCAATTAGATGCTCATTTATTCACAGATGCTGTCTCCCATTGGCAAGCGCTTTCGGGCCACACAAGGTCCCCTTCGTCAGGCTCAGAGAGGTGGTCTGATCTGTCCCTACCCTATTCAAAGCCGAAACAAACTTCTGCCTTTACGCTTCAATAGTTATCTATGTCACTGCCCATAGAAGAGCTACACCAGCGTAGAGAGTGAAGGTCGGAGGCAGGATTGCTGAACTTCTTCTTCCTTTTTTGTATTATTTTTTCTTTGGGTGATGGAGTTGCTTTAAAAGAAATCCATACAGAGATATTTGGTGGATAACAATGTAAATCTGAAACTGCTAGATCACTGGCTTTTCTGCAGACACATACCTTCTAAATGACTGACCTAGATCGGGTGTGCAGATTAGCAATGTCAAGGAACAGACCGAAGTCCTTCTCTGCTGCTTTGTACATTTGTCATATATAATAATTGACGAACTTCCCTGATCAATTCCCTGATTATTTTAGCTTTGCAATTGGAGATAAAAA